TGAGAAAACTTATTCTTAACAGTTAAAGATACATTATTCAAAATTTGAATAAAACTCACATATACCAGGAAGACGTTTAAGTTTGAATCAAACAAATTTTTTTAATCTATTTTTCAATAGGATAATGTTGTGTTTTATAAGATTCAAATTGTCTTTTATGCAGCAGGGTTTCATTCAAATTGTCTTTTATGCAGCAGGGTTTCCCCTACATGCAACATAGGATCCATACTTGCTTTTACACAATACATGCTAAAAATAGTCTCTTATATCATGCATTGAATATTATAAAATTTATTCTTTGCCGTTTTACATTGAATGTGAGAAAATTCATTCTTAACGGCTAAAGATATATGATTCAAAATTTGAATATAAAACTCACATATACCAAGAAGACATTTAAATTTGAATCAAACAGATTTTTTTTAATCTATTTTTCAATCAAACAATGTTGTGTTTTATAAGATTCAAATTGTCAGTATTCCATACATGAGGCATAGGGTTTGCATATGGTTTTGCACGATTAGTGCGTACTAAAAAATAGTTTCCTATTATGCATTGAATATTAGAAAATTTATTCTTTATTGTTTTACATTGAATGTGAAAAAATTTATTCTTAACAGTTAAAGATAGATGATTCAAAATTTGAATAAAACTCACATATACCAAGAAGACATTTAAGTTTGAATCAAACAAATTTTTTTTAAATCTATTTTTCAATAGAATAATGTCGTGTTTTATAAGATTCAAATTGTCTTTTATGCAGCAGGGTTTCCCATACATGCAACGTAGGATCCACACTTGGTTTTACACAATACATGCTAAAAATAGTCTCTTATATCATGCATTGAATATTATAAAATTTATTCTTTGCCGTTTTACATTGAATGTGAGAAAATTCATTCTTAACGGCTAAAGATACATGATTCAAAATTTAAATATAAAACTCACATATACCAAGAAGGCATTTAAGTTTGAATCAAACATATTTTTTTTAATATATTTTTCAATAGAACAATGTTGTGTTTTATAAGATTCAAATTGTCAGTATTCCATACATGAGGCATAGGGTTCACACATGGTTTTGCACGGTTAGTGCGTACTAAAAAATAGTTTCCTATACTATGCATTGAATATTAGAAAATTTATTCTTTACCGTTTTACATTGAATGTGAGAAAACTTATTCTTAACAGCTAAAGATACATTATTCAAAATTTGAATAAAACTCAAATATACCAGGAAGACGTTTAAGTTTGAATCAAACAAATTTTTTTTAATCTATTTTTCAATAGAATAATGTCGTGTTTTATAAGATTCAAATTGTCTTTTATGCAGCAGGGTTTCCCATACATGCAACGTAGGATCCACACTTGGTTTTACACAATACATGCTAAAAATAGTCTCTTATATCATGCATTGAATATTATAAAATTTATTCTTTGCCGTTTTACATTGAATGTGAGAAAATTCATTCTTAACGGCTAAAGATACATGATTCAAAATTTAAATATAAAACTCACATATACCAAGAAGGCATTTAAGTTTGAATCAAACATATTTTTTTTAATATATTTTTCAATAGAACAATGTTGTGTTTTATAAGATTCAAATTGTCAGTATTCCATACATGAGGCATAGGGTTCACACATGGTTTTGCACGGTTAGTGCGTACTAAAAAATAGTTTCCTATACTATGCATTGAATATTAGAAAATTTATTCTTTACCGTTTTACATTGAATGTGAGAAAACTTATTCTTAACAGCTAAAGATACATTATTCAAAATTTGAATAAAACTCAAATATACCAGGAAGACGTTTAAGTTTGAATCAAACAGAATTTTTTTAATCTATTTTTCAATAGGATAATGTTGTGTTTTACAAGATTCAAATTGTCTTTTATGTAGCAAGGTTTCCCATACATGCAACGTAGGATCCACACTTGGATTACACAATACATGCTAAAAATAGTCTCTTATATCATGCATTGAATATTATAAAATTTATTCTTTGCTGTTTTATATTGAATATGAGAAAATTCATTCTTAACGGCTAAAGATACATGCTTCAAAATTTGAATATAAAACTCACATATACCAAGAAGACATTTAAGTTTGAATCAAATAGATTTTTTTAATCTATTTTTCAATAGGACAATGTTGTGTTTTATAAGATTCAAATTTTCAGTATTCCATACATGAGGCATAGGGTTCATATATGGTTTTGCACGGTTAGTGCGTACTAAAAAAATAGTTTTCTATATTATGCATTGAATATTAGGAAATTTATTCTTTGCCGTTTTACATTAAATGTAAGAAAAATTATTTTTAACAGTTAAAGATACATGATTCAAAATTTGAATAAAACTCACATATACTAAGAAGACATTTAAATTTGAATCAAACAGATTTTTTTAATCTATTTTTCAATACGATAATGTTGTGCTTTATAAGATTCAAATTGTCAATATTCCATACATTAGGCATAGGGTTTACATATGGTTTTGCACAGTTAGTGCATACTAAAAAATAGTCTCCCATATTATACATCAAATATTAGAAAATTTATTCTTTACTGTTTTACATTGAACGTGAGAAAATTCATTCTTAACAGTTAAAGATACATGATTTCAAATTTAAATAAAACTCACACATACCAAGAAGATATTTAAGTTTGAATCAAACGGATTTTTTTTCCATATATTTTTCAATAGGACAATGTTGTGTTTTATAGGATTCAAATCGTCAATTTCCCATACATTAGGCATAGTTCACACATGGTTTTGTATGGTTAGTGCGTATTAGAAAATAGTCTCCTACATTATGCATTGAATATTAAAAAAATTTCTCCTTAGCCGTTTTACATTGAATATAAGAAAATTAGTCCTTAAGAGCTAAAAATGCATGATTCAATTCTACCCAAAAAAAAAAAGCATGATTCAGAATTTAAATAAAACTCACATATACCAAGAAAATATGTAAGTTTGATTTAATGGTTAAGGAGTTTAATTCCATAATGGTTGCTAAAGACCTCATGGAAGTTATGTCATTCCAAGGGATCCTTTTAAAATTATCATATTTCTGTGGTCATTGTATGTATCTCTCTTTTTACTTGTTCTTTTGCCCGTTGTTTGGTAGCAAAGTAACATGGTTCTTGGCACTGAAAAAGAGAAGATCCATACTGAGTGGTCGTGAAAGATTCAAAATATCAATAGAAGCACAAAACTCACAATTATATGTACATGTAGAAAATATAAGGGAGAGTCACACTTTAGTATTGAAAAAAAAGAATTATATAATACTTTAATACCTCACAATTATAAAATGCCAATAAACTAAATAATGAAAACAACATAAGTTATATGGATGCTGAAAGATCGAATATAATGAATATTAAAAGGTGCTTATTTAAAAATAATTCCAGCTAGAGGCGGCAATTTCTATTTCGTGTTATATTTTTCAAATAAACCCATTTGACATATATAATATAAACCTAATAAATTCCAAATCTTATTCTATTCACTTTTGATGTTCATGTGCCCATCTTGTACGTACACCTTCACTTTTCATCATCAGTTCCGTAGTCCCAAATTTTCCCATCCTTGTTGTTTCTTTTGGGCACAACAAGGGATGTATATCTCAATTATCCTCTATCTTTTTGAATTTTCTATTTCAAGATCATTATTTTTTCAAGCCAAGAATATCGTTACTCTTTCTCAGGTAGCCATATGATATTTAATATTATTGAATCAAATTTAAGCATTATCCACTTTAATGAAAGGTATTTCTTTATGGATTCAAGCCTGAGATATACGGGGTGTTTGGTTTGTCTAGGAAGCATTGTTAACACAAATTGAGACAATTCATATCATATATTTATTTCATATATCGTAAAATTACTTTTAAAATCATAATTTGATTTCTAACGTAACATCCTCATAGTGTTTAAATGGTTATAGCCCCTCTTATTAGGACCAACCAACACCTGTTTGTTAAAATATTATCCTTTTACAAGCCAAGGAGATATTATAATTTCAAATAATATATATAAATTTAATGAGAGATTATCTGTGAAACAGTAAACTTCTTCAAAGATGTTTTGATGATATGCATTTTTTCTTCAGAAAAATGAATTCAATTTTAAAAATAACATGTAAACTAATTTATATTTTTAAAAACCTAGTTACTGTTGATGTTGAAGTTATTGTTGATTGTTAAGGAAAATTACTAAATACTTCCATATAAAAAATTTAATTATTAAAAAATATGTGACAAAATAAGTAACATGTAGTGGGAAGTTCTAATACAAGAGATGACACTAATTCACACTAGTCACTTGTCAAACTTTTTGATGATCAGATTACTATCGGAGAGTAATTTTCTCTGGTTGTTATATACTTTACAAATACGTATAAATCAATATGTTCGTAATACAATGGTAAAGATATATTTGCATGAAAATTAAACTTTAAGAAATTATGTGTAACTTAAAAAAATTTATCTATGCATACAAATTAAAATTCCATCAGTTTTAAAATGATTCTCATTTGATCATTTCAGAGTTTTTTTTTTAGAGTTTTCAATTTTTTAATTCGGGTTTTTTTTAACCGAAATTTTTTATCTGGGTTAAAAAACCGCTGTTGAATTAGGATTTAGAAGGGGGACAATGTACAATTTCCGTTACAACACAAGGGCAGAAAGTATCACTGTGGTGACACGTAAGCCATTGACCATCAAAAGCACTGTGAAGTCGTTGACGTTTTCAAATACTAATAATAATAATAAGCCCTTTATTTATTTATTTTATTAAAATAAAATAAGGCGCTTCTTTCATTTTTGAAAATTTCTTCTTCCCTTAAGCTTTGCATGCGTATAACGGCGTTCTCGTCAGCCGTCTTCTTCCTCTATTTATACGCCCTCCGTAGCCTCGTCTTCCTCCACCCCTCTCTCTCCCCCCCTCTCTCTCTAAACCTCTTCTTCAAAGTTTGTATTCAGATTTCTGAGAATGGGGAAGAAAGACCAGAATCACCAGAAAGACCCTACCTTCAAAGTTGAAGCTGTTCTTCAACTCATCAGAAAACAATCACCCCTCACTCTCAAACAGGTCTCTCTCTCTTTCTTTCTCTCTCCCCTCCATTAATCCACACTCATTTCTTCTTCTACCCACACCCACACACACACACACACACACACACACACACACACAGAAAATGTGAGGATTATTACCTATTCATGGATTTCTAATTAATGCTTAACTTGTATGGTTTTGCTGGTTTGATTAATTTTGCAGGAGAAGTTCTGCAACTATGCTTGTGTTGAACGGTTTCTCAAAGCGAACAAGGATAATGTGAAGAAAGCTGCCAAGCAACTCAGGGCTTGCCTCTCTTGGAGAGAAACTATAGGCATCGGTGTGTGTATATATATATGTATATATATTCGTCTAGTTCTCTCATCAGATTCTCTCTCTGTAAAAGCTTCATTTCTGGCGTTATTCTAAAAAAATCTGCGAATATTCTCCTTTTGGTTCACCCAAGAATTTTGCTGTTTCCTCTCCACTTCCTTTCTGAATCAAGAGTTAAACTATACACTAAAGTTAACACGCAGAAATACATGTAAACTAATTAATCCCCATACCTAAAGCTGAAAGATGATAACTTTTTTTTCTTTTGGGGTAAACAGAGAATCTGATGGCAGATGAGTTCGCAGCTGAAATCGCCGACGGGTTAGCTTATGTGGCTGGTCAGGACGATGAATCCAGACCTGTAATGGTAATTTCACTACCCTTCTGTCTTCTTCCTTCTTCTTTCCATGGAACTGAAAGTTTATTGGCTGTATCCACAGATTTTCCGGATGAAGCAGGACTACCATAAGTCACATTCTCAGAAACTGTAAGTTTCACTTCCCCCCACTTTCCCGCTTCCCAAACAGTAGAAAACTTGCACTTCCTCCAAGAAACCAAACTTAACGTTGTAGTTTTTTGAAACTTCCAAAGGTTCAATCGCTTGTTTGTGTTCACATTGGAGGTGGCCATTTCAACGATGACCAGAAACATGAAAGAACTCGTCATCCTCTTCGATGCAAGTAAGTGCCTTCAAATATCCTTTTTTATTTTTTTTTGACCTGAGCCTTCAAATATCATATGACTTTTGTTTTGGGAGACCTTATTATTATTAAGATCAAACAGAGAAGGACAGCGAAGCATAGTTTCTGAGGGAGTTTCAGAGATTGTCCGGTGTGCCCTTTATGTGTCACGTCTAGGCTGGGATAGGTTGCTTAGTTTGGAAGGGGTATTATTGGGAATTGGAGTGTCGTCATTTGACAATTGACATTCTGCTCAGAAATTGGTCCATTCTTTTGGATTTTTTTTTTTAGTGAAAAGATTATGCCACTTGATGATTCTCCTCCTGCACTAACTGCTCCTTTTTGGCTTTTGACAGTACCATCCCAAGAGAGATCTTTAGTCTGCATTTCTGTTTCCTCAGTTGACATTGTCCTGAGAATTTTGATTCCCATTCTATCTCTATTCACAGTTAAGGCGTAACCATTTGGTGTTTGTTTACTATAATTGTGATTACTAAAAGCACTTATTTATATAATTTGAGATAAAACTTCTCTTACATATTTACTTTTTATTTTATAAAGCTTAATTGAAAAACTGTTTTTAAAGATTTTTATCGTCATCACAAACAGTCAGATAGTGCCTACTAAAACCGCCATTTGTTAAGTGCTTGTAAACATTTTTTTACATAAATCAGAATAAAATTTTTCTTATATAATAATCTCGTGCTCCTCTAGTCTTATTTATAGGTCAGAGAGAAAAAACATTTTTTTGATACTATTTATAGGGTATTAAGAAAATTTTTTTGTATAGATGTACAATTTTACTCTTCATTTATTATTTTGTTGATTTTGTTTGCATAAAATATAATATATATTAAATAGGAATAAAATTAAAAAATTATTGAATTTTAAATTAGAGTTAATGAAGTTTAAGATTTTTCTTGGTCTGTGTGAAATATATTAAAAGTGACTTATAAATAAGATTAAAAAAGTATTTTATAAATGACAATTAAAAAATTATTTTTGAAGGGTTTTATCGCCATTCCAAGCAAATCACAGTTGGAAGTGATTGCCCTTCACTCTCGATAATCCGACACAGAATTGTGTCTTCCTGTTGGTAGACTATTTCCTCATGGCTAAAAGAAAGTGAAAAATGAGTAATTAATTACTGTTGGGTACTGAAAAATAGGTAATTAATTACGGTTGGGTGCAGGTTTTTACAGGTCAGCATCAGCTTTAATGAACATATTAGTGGGAGCACTGAAAATTGTGGCAGAAAATTATCCAGGGCAGCTACAGAAGGCCTTTGTGATTGACCCTCCTTCACTCTTCACTTGTTTGTGGAAGGTATAATTAAATTCAAATCCCCAAACACTGCCTAATTTTGGTACTTACCAAATTCTGTTCTATTCACTAAATATTATAATTTGTTACTATATCTTTCTATAATAATTATAAGATCTTATTCCTATAATTAGGATGGGAGGTATTATAATTTTTTTTTGAATTAATTAGTATAATTTTTATAATTCATATATCAATCACATCACATATATTTAAAACATTGGCTTTAAATTATTAAAAAAAATCTGATTGTAGTGCTCATGTGCATGGCTGCATGCTGTGTTCCCCCTTTTTTGACCATCAACAAAAGGACCACTTGCCCACTGTTGACTTCTTATAATACCTAGCCAGTCAGGTCCCCACAAAATCTTATCCCCAGTACATTTGAAAATCTTTTGTTTATTATTTTCTTATACTTTATCTGGTAAATTAATATATGTTGATCTCTATAATTTTGTACTACTTTTTTGTACCAAGCCCTTCAAATTTTATATGGTTTTAAGATCTTTTTTAAATTCTTTTTATCATTATCTTTATAGTTTTACTTGCTTTTTAATCAGATTTTTGTAGTTTTGTTTAATCAATCACATGAAATTATGAGAACTTAATTATAAATCAGGCATAACAGGACATGATAAAGAGGGGAAAACAATAAAGATTTTATTAAAAATCAGGTAAAATTATAGGGACCTATAAATTCATCTTTTTTAAAAATGCTTACCTCATAATTTCATATTAAATCGATGATTATATAGATAATTATTAATTGATACTACTTTAATGAATTTTGTATATCGTGAGTGCAGGGAGTTCGTCCATTCGTTGAGCTTTCAACGGTGACGATGATGGTATCGTCATCAGACTTTGAAGAAACGCATGATATAAACGACTTCGTATCATATCCCCGAGTCTCATCTCTGCGATTTAGCCCGTCCGTCACAAAACCAACGGCTAGAATTGGTTCTTCCGCATCTTCCCGATTTGCCTTCACAGCGTCCAATGGCAATAACTCGTTAAAGCCTTGGTACCTTAGCCTAACTGACACATCAGCATCCAAGGTGGGACCCACAAGCCCCTCACCCAGACCTATGGGCCCCGCACTGATCTCCCCATTCAACGCCCGATCCTATTCATTCGCGTCGCCAGTTGCTCGTGGGCATCCACGTGGAGGAGATCTCAATGGTGGAGGATTAATTAGACCAAACGCAATGTCGTCTACTCCCATGCCGCAACGTGTCACAGATAGAGAGGCTACCAAGAGGGGCCACTCGTTCTTCCAATCACCGGCCGTTTTCTTCCGCAGGGATGGCCATGCGAGTGAAAACGGCAAGTCTCGAGATGCCTTCTTGCCGTTTTTGCGGTTTTATAGAAGGCCGTATAATGAGATGATATATAGGTCAAAGATGAAGCCTCCACTTGGTGGCCTCATCTCTATTGTCTCTCCACAATTAAGAAGATGTCATGTTTCAATGTCTCAGCGTTTTTGAATGGAAAAAGTAAATTTTCCCCCCAATTTTATTATAAGTTACAAATGTAACTCTTTGGTATTATACTACTATTACATGAATTTCTTTTTTTTTCTTTAATAAAAGAGTTAGATAGATCATATGGGTTTCAAGCAAATTGAAAATTGTGTTGTTCACAATTTAGTGCACAATGTGACTTGGGAGATGTACATACCTTTGTCCATGGACTCCAATTTCTACTTTTGATGATATTCCATGGTAGTTCATTGGTCCTAATTCTTATTTTCATGTTTGGTTTCTCTCATTTTCATTTTAATTCTTAGAAATTCACAATGAACTTGAAACAAGTTAAAGCATGATATTCCTAACTCTAAAATTTTGTGTTTTAATGCCTTTTAGTGAAAAAGTTTAGATAGACATGTCTTGCACTTAAATAATACTATCTCTAATCTTTAATATAAGACCTTGTTTGATTTTTATTTTGGTCCTAAATATAAGATCCCAATCCACTTTGTCTCTCATATTTATACTTTTTTTTTTCAAAATAGTCCTTCTAACAATGGTAATTCTAGCCAATATACTTGATTAGCAAGAATATTTTAGGAAAGACAACACATATCTAGAATAAATAACTAACTCAACTTATTTCTTTAATCTCCTCAAATTAGTCAATTAACTTTTATAATTAGGACCGGAGGTAATACTTATAGAAGTGATTATAAGTTGCTCACTAGTAAAATTCTTGCATCACGACCAAATTTATATACATGTTTTTGTGAAATATGGAGCAACTCTTTTTCAATTAGACCAACTTGAAATGGACTACTTTAATTTATTTTCCTATTATTCCATTTCTTAAAAAGTAATTTTAAATACGAAACTACGCATTATATGTTTATAATGTTCAAATCTCTCTCTCTCTCTGTGAAATAATACTATTATTGCAACACTCAATAATTTAAATCTTTTCTCTTCTGACATGCCATTCTATTAAAAATGGAGTGATCAAAATGAATAAAAATTTATATCAGACCTTATATCTTCTTTTGTTATTACAAATTCTCTCTATTCATTTTTTATATATTTTTATTGCAAATTATCTCTATATTTGATATTCCAGGGCACTAACATTTGAGCTCGAGACATAATGATCCAATTACCAATGTCTCCCCACGAAGAACAACTTTACTAATTTAGCTTTGTCATACCTCAAAATGATTAAAAGTATAGTAGTGTCTGGATATATCCACACACACACACATATATGGACTATCTTATTATATTCATAATTTTAGAATAAAAACGTATAAAGAATTAAGAACTATTTACTCTTATTTTACTTGGTGAAATTCCACTTGTAATTTTGTTCAATGCAATGGAGGCTTGAGAGAAACAAGAAAGCGTCTACCGTGGGCAAAGAATTGGGAACTCAGCTTTGATCGTTGAATCAAACCTATAAAGTAGATCTCAGTTTTCTCCGTTACCGTACCCCACCCTGGAAGCCATCCATATCGGTACCTTCTTCTTCTTCTTCTTGATTTCCTCGTTTCATTCATACATTCAGACAAATATATTCCTGTGAACTTGGGACCCTAACAAGTCATTAATAACTATGCCATTTGACATTGAAAGGAAAAAACATTACTGATTCAGAGGGTTTCATTTCATCATTTAGGTTTCATACACACGAGTTTGTTATAATGCAGAGACTATCTGAATCAAATATCATAAAATATTGCCATCTACAAATTTGAATCCTTTCCCTGTTTAAGATTTGTTGTTATTGTTTTCCTTCTGATTGCATTGAGATGTTGTAACGGAGACTTTAGCACCGCTTATTTTCCTTTCTCTTATTAACTATAACTTGGTCCTTTTCCATTTCATTGTTATAAAAATTGATCTTTCATTTGATCAGGCAACCATGAAAGGCATTCTTAATTCTCAACAGTACAGAAAAGCTTTGATTCAACTGCAAGCTGATAAATTGTGTTCTGGGTTGAGACTGTTAAGCACTCAGACTACTCCACAACCTCAACCTGCAGAGAAAACTCATTTTGGTGGCCTCAAGGATGAAGATAGGGTTTTTACAAACTTGTATGGTTTGCATGATCCATTTCTCAAAGGTGCAATGAAAAGGGGCGATTGGTATCGGACTAAAGATTTGGTACTCAAAGGAACAGATTGGATTGTGGATCAAATCAAGAAGTCAGGCCTCCGTGGACGCGGCGGTGCCGGCTTCCCCTCCGGCCTAAAATGGTCCTTCATGCCAAAAGTTACAGATGGTCGTCCCTCGTATCTTGTTGTTAATGCTGATGAAAGCGAACCTGGGACTTGCAAAGACAGAGAGATCATGAGACATGACCCGCATAAACTCTTAGAAGGTTGTCTAATTGCTGGAGTTGGAATGAGAGCCAATGCTGCTTATATCTATATCAGAGGAGAATACGTAAATGAAAGAAAATCACTGGAAAAAGCAAGGCAAGAAGCTTATAAAAAAGGATTTTTGGGGAAAAATGCTTGTGGATCAGGCTATGATTTTGATGTTCATATCCATTTTGGTGCTGGGGCATATATTTGTGGTGAAGAAACAGCTTTGTTAGAGAGTCTTGAAGGCAAACAAGGAAAACCCAGATTGAAACCACCATTCCCTGCAAATGCAGGCTTATATGGCTGTCCAACCACAGTTACAAATGTCGAAACGGTGGCGGTTTCGCCGACTATTTTAAGGAGGGGACCGGACTGGTTCGCCGGATTTGGGAGGAAGAACAATGCTGGGACAAAACTATTTTGTGTATCTGGGCATGTGAACAAGCCCTGCACTGTTGAGGAAGAAATGAGCATACCATTAAAAGAGCTAATAGAAAGGCACTGTGGTGGTGTTAGAGGAGGATGGGACAATTTACTGGCAATAATTCCCGGAGGATCATCGGTTCCATTGATTCCTAAGAGTGTTTGTGATGATGTTCTGATGGATTTCGACGCGCTTAAGGTGGCGAACACGGCGTTGGGGACGGCGGCGGTGATAGTTATGGACAAATCAACTGATATTGTGGATGCCATTGCAAGGCTCTCTTACTTCTACAAGCATGAAAGTTGTGGACAGTGCACTCCATGTAGGGAGGGCACTGGATGGCTATGGATGATGATGCAGAGAATGAAAGCCGGCGAGGCGAAACTCGAAGAAATCGACATGCTTCAAGAGCTTACTAAGCAAATTGAAGGGCATACAATATGTGCTTTGGGTGATGCTGCAGCATGGCCAGTGCAGGGACTGATCAGACATTTTAGGCCAGAGCTAGAGAAAAGGATTAGAGAGCATGCACAGAAGGAGGCACTACAAGCAAATGCTTGATTTGCCTCTTTATAATAAGGTTGTTTCTTGGATCTTTTCTTCTCTAAGTTCTATTTTTTCTTTGACTTGCATGTTATTTAATTTGATCTATACAAGTTAAAGGAATAAAACTGTTGGAAATGTTAAATTGATATTAGTTGGTTAAGAATGAATATAGTTGCTTAAGAATTTGCTTGGTTAGGCACAAAGGATTAGGTATTTGCAGTTAATTTTGTAGATTAGATAGTACTCATCTGATTCTAAATATAAAATCTATTTTGTAGTGTAAATTACACTACAAAATGATTTACACTATAAAATAAGTGTTATATTTAGGATCGTAGGAGTAATAAATGTTGCCTCCAACTACTTCATGAACAAGTTCTTATAATGCAAAGCAAGATGTTGCAAAAAAAAGTGGACAGGCTTTTTCTGACAAAAACGGCTTCTATATCTTACCATGTCAGTTGAAATGAAAATCATTCCATTGCGGGATTGGAGATTTTGTTTTAGAATATAGGAATATGTTTTAGAATGGTTTTCTTAGCTAACAAACAAGCTATAGTGTCTATAACTTATAAATAGTACATGTTATAGATTTTACATTCCACATATGTAAAAACTTCTTGTCTCTAAAAGTGAAGTTTTTGATCATATGGTACCTAACTGTCATTTACATTTACCTTTTATATGTGTGTATGTGTGTGTGGTTTGCTATAAATTTATCTTATTTTTTTGTAGGGCACAATTGTATTCATGGATGGAGATAGTTGAAATAAAGCCTCTGTTTTCAGAAAAACAGGGGACTTGTAGGCTTCCATTAAAATTTTGATTTGCAACAGCTTTTTGGACTGTATTTATTTGAACCTGTTTAACTCTTTTTTTGTTGTAAATTATCAATAATATCTGCTTTCTCTAAGTATTTCTTTTTAATGCTCAATTTTGTTTGTTTAATTAATGATAAGAGATGAACTCCGTCATATATGGCCATGAATTGATACCAAGATTAATCTTTTTTTTATTTTTTGAATAGAAAAATATGTACTAATGATCTGAGATTACAAATGAGATAGAACCCACAATCTCCCCACTTTCAAAGGAGCACCAAGCCTTTGACATCCGTTTTGGTTCTGTGAAAATCAACATGATAATGGAAGCAAAGGTGAAAATAGACAAAGGGATTGGGCTCAAGGCCATGGCCATTATTATAAGCAGGCCGACCAATCTGGCTGTTTCTATTTTCATACAAATAAATAAATAGATATTATATATACATATATATATATATATATATATTAAGCCTATATTTTTATGGATATAAATTTTTTGTTGTCTAGAGTATCCTCCCACATGAACGGTGAAAGACTAATCTCTCAAGGTATTGTTAGATGCCGTAGCGGGAACCATTCCCAACAATGTTTGTTCCATACACACCGTCTCAAGAATCGAACCCGGGACATGATGTTTAAGGTACCCAAGTCCCTTCCACTTGAACCAATATTTGTTGGTATATGAATATAAATTTAACTCACATTAATTTGACGAAATATCCCAGACTTTGTATGCTTCATTGGGCTTCTCCATACTTTATTGATAAAAGGCCCGTTTGTAATGGTTTATAAACAACTTTTTAACCGAAAAGATTTTTCTTGACTTACATAAAATACGTTTATAAATAATTTTAATAGTAATGCTAAACAGGGCCATATACGGTTATTGTTACTTAAATCCACTTCCATTGCCGGAGTGTCTGTCATGCTTTTACATGTCTCTCTTGACTTATGGTGGTCAGTCGTGTTAAATAAAGTCACCTACGTTGCAGCTAGTTTTAGCCATGCAATCATATTAGAATAAATTTTATTTACTGATTTACTCGTGATGCCAAATCTCTGATCTATCTTTTAACGATAAAATTTATTACTAGTCTATTCTGTTCTATATATGGTGTCCTTCAAAGCCTCATCTTCTCCTTTATGTTCCAAACAATTCACAAGGATATAAGATTTAAGGCAAAATTATTAAAGAAGCCCAGTGTATTATAAAACATTACTCCTATTTTTTTATACAATAAAATTTAGGTGAGTTAAATCTTAAAAGCTCATTAAGAGTAACACATACTTTCAGACTTAGAGTACTTATAAAGATAATAATAAATTGTTCATTGATAAAATCCTCACATTAGGAGCGGAATTCCAACTGATGATTTTGTGAATTATTAATCCTTAAATCACTTTAACAGCAAGGAACAAAAAATCGGATAGGACACTAAACCAGTTGAGGTAGTGGTTCGAGGGTTAGTGGGTCAGATTGGGGTCAAACCAGTCACATTAAAATGATAAAATTTAATTAAAAAGGGAAAACCATATTGGAGGTACTTATACTTTTTTTCAATTTTCAATTTGGTACCTATGTGTTTTTTTGTTCTTAACTAAATCTTTATTTTTCTTCTATTAACATCATTAATCCTTATGTAGAGACTAAAGATATCAATAGAACAAAGTTATAAGAGCTAATGTTGCTAAAAAGATAAAATTAAATATTTAATTAAAGGGAAAAAAACACATAGGTACCAAATTAAAATTGAGAGAAAGTATAAGTACCTTCAATATGGTTTTCCCAATTAAAAATAACAAAGTATAACAACATTAATAATCACTAATAACAAAATGTAAGAAAATACAACAATAATTTGATTGTAATTAAAACAAAATACAATAACATTAAAGATTTTGATCTTTATGATTTCTCAATAACTAAAATTAATAATTATTAATACCAAAATCATTATTAAAATTCATTTAAATATATAGTAACTAAAATATTAGGAGTTGAACGAGAAAAAAAGAAAAATAAATAGTAACATAATAATTCAAACTAGTTCATCACCGGTTTACTCCGATTTTTGCTGATTTGCACCGGTTCATCCCAGTTTGACCAGGTTGATACCAATTCATTCTATGACCAGTTCATTGCTTTAACTGAACCAGGCCGCTGGCCAGTTCATCAGTTTTTCAGTTAAACCGACTAGTTTGGCCTCTCTTTTTTTACACTATTTAATAGTTGATCTCAATGTTTTAAAAATCAAACCGGACGTTAAACATAAAAGGCCAACAATTGAGTTTTAATGGTTCAACAGTTCCCACGTGGCAAAAATCATTATTATACATCCATCTACAATTTTGCTTGTTCAGCTAGCCATGACCAGCAAGCTATAAATAGTAAAATGACAGTTAAGTTCCGACATTTCATTTAATGACAGTCAGATCCAAAAAACTTGCTCAAAGATAAACGGCAAATACATATTTAAATAGTTGCAAATATGGAAATCTCACTTACAAATCACTAACCTATGGCTTCCACGTTTAAAGCAGTCTCAATCGTGAGTCCGATACTTGCGACTCATCTTTCAACAAAAATTTTGGGGACTTAACTATCATTAATTTAATTTTTTGAGATCTAAGTACCGCTTCCAAATCTCATCATCATTCAATAGCTACGTGTTACATCTGTACATCAACCAATTTGAGAACACAGGAATTGACGTCCAAGTTGAGCGCATCAAAGTTTTCATCTCAGGGTAACTTTCAATTTGCTCTCCGCCAGTTCTCTAACCTTCCACTGCATTCAAAGGTTATTAGGAAAAAAAAATTGTAGCTTTCAGACTAAATACGATGAAAAAACTAAAAGCTGGATATAAATAACACCACAATTTCTGATAAAACAACAATAACCTGGAGGTCGTTGATTTCATCGTCGGTAAGAGAACGTTCCATAGACCTATATGCAATCCGATAGCAGTGGCTGGTCATTCCTTTCTTGTTGGTAAAATTGTCTATTAACTTCACCTGGTATTTCAAGAACATCAATAAGCAGGGGAAAAGAATAAGATGATTATACTTTATTTTAAAAACACGTTCTTTTACATAAATATCAAGTTGGGTCAGTTAGTGGCTCAATAATTATCTTGCCTAACCAACTTGGCTCTTATTCCTCTGTGAAATGCTTGATAGTATAACCCGAAATGCACTTTATCAGAGTGAAATTAATATGAAAACAGATTTAAGGGGATATCACAATAAATGTAAAAACCAGAAAATTTTGCTTGCAAAAGTGCTCAAAGACCTACCTCCTCAACAAGATCACCGGCTACACTTCTGACAACTTCACAAAGATTGTTTTCAGTGAACGACTCATTGATCCAGAAGCTCATGTCCTTGTAACAAGGAGGATACTGTCAAAGATTAAAAAGAAGAGAAGGTCATCTCAAGTTCTGAAAACTTTATGCAGTGAAGTTACAGAACTACTATAAACCAATGGGCCACCACGACTAAGGAACATAAAATTTATGAAGTGTAAGAGAGTAGGCTAGTACTGGGAAACATATATACAGTGCTTTGTAAGTGGGAGGGACAAGAAAAATAAGAGCGCGGTTTGGGAGAGAGCTAGCCCCTCAAAAGCTAGTACCGTTAGTGTTTTCTGCTATTTCCTCTGTAGTTCTCTAGTTGACCTACACTCTTCCAGATTATTATTAATCTTAATATCATTTTGAAGGTGAGTTACATCATAATGACACTTGGATAGACAGATATCAAAACATCAAGGTCCCCAGAGTAAATTCTAGTGATACATTTCCTCAGCTAAATGTTGCCTGCCAAGACAAAGAGATTCACATATATAGGACATGGATCATTTGAAAACTTAAACTCACGAAATCATATACTTTGAAGTTCAAATAACTGCAGCTATCAGAATTAATACTGACCAGACATTTAACACGCGAAATATCAAAGGAACCAACATATACATACTTAACCGCAGAACTAAGGATAACCAAGCACATATACATACATGCCTCAGGCAGAAGTTACCTTCGAAAAAGGCTTAAACTTGACTCCTAACTGGCCTTTAGAGAACTGTATGAAAAAGACAATATAGAATGTGAGTAGCAGAGAAATATGAGGAAGAGAACAAGAGAGGATGTGGGACCTGTACTAAGTGATTTCTAACCTAACCTCTTATGCATAGCAAGAGGCTAGGACAACATATTAAGGCTAATAATTACAGAATAAATGCAAAAATAAATCTCTTTAGTTATGCATAATATCCCTAACAACAGAAAATCAATACTCAATCATCATAAGCAACGTGCACTGTTAAAAGCAGCAAGTGCAAAATGTTAGAGAAGGTGAAGAGTGTGCGTGACTAATATCATCTACTTAAAACACAAAACAAACATGAATCGATACTATTTTATAACCTCCCTTAACACAATGCATATAGACTAAATGCCCAAGCTATTTATAAAGCATGCAAGCCTTGGAATTGAAGAGACTCCGATAAAACCAAAGTGAAGAGGAAAATTAAATACTGCAACAATCCCGGAAACTAGCTTCAATCCAAAGAGAGAGACAGAGAAAGAGAGACTACAAAAAGAAGAGACAAAAATTCTCAGTTCTTGAGATGACTACATCATTGGCATCAAATATAGTGTCTAGGAAAATGGACAAAGGCCAATAGAACAATGTTGTTAACCATATACCTGGGAGGTAAATCGCTCATCGGATGACCAAAAGAGACGAATATCTGGTATGTCAAATAGAACCATAGCTAACCTCTCCAATCCTAGGCCAAAAGCCCAGGCAACATTATTTGGGTGACCATTTCTTTTTAGAATTTCTTGCTCTGTCACGCCACAGCCTAAAACTTCTAACCACTCTTCCTGGAAATAAAATGTCAAACATCAGCTAACTCTGTACAAACATGGAAGCAAATGTTCAGCATTTTCCGTCAATTGTTTTCATCTAATTCTTTTGTTTCTTGTGCATGTTTTGATTGTCTTATAGATATACACAGGCCTGAATGAGGTTTCATCGTACTCTAGACATTAAGTGTAGGGAAGGTCCTGTCCATATCAATACAACAACAAGAACAAGCCTCATCCTACTAGATGGGATCTACTGCATGGATCACACTAGGTCCTGTCTATATCAATTCCATTCCTAGATTTATTAGAGACACTCATAAACAACATAGGCAACAAATAAGGCACAGAACCTAAGGCAACATCTTTTTTTTTTTTTTTGATACAAACCTAAGGCAACATCAATCATCCTTCTTTTACATCTTTGTGAACTATTTTACAATTCGGACCAGTCTATTAATTCACATCAATATTACTCTACATGTTTTAAGGAAATGAATGCAAACATAACATAATTGTTAAAGATTGTGCTACTGGTAAACATATATTTTTTTTCTAGTTATTATTTTCCTGCTATGTACTGTTATTATCTTCCATCATTTTAGGTTAGTTAGCTTCAGGATTTCTTTTGACTATCAATTCCATTACGAATAGATCTGATTCGAATTTAAAATCAGATTCCTCCTCTATATGTACTTTCTGCATTTGATTGACTAACACAGCAGAGGAAGGCAAAAATACCTCTGTTTCCACAACCTTCTAGTAATCTTCTTTTTTTTCTTTTTTGCCTTCTAAATTAGTTGCAGGATAATTTTACATCCTCCTATGATCCACTCTTCTTTCTATTAATAATTTCATTTTCATACCCAAATAAGCAGAATAATCTACTAGAAAATAAAAATGAAGTGTATTAACATCTAATCACCACATGGCTTCCCAGTCAAACATAAATAAACTTATTACGTCTTACAAGGCTACCCAAGAAAATAACTTACATTAAAATATATCTCAAGCTCAAATGATGGATTGGTAAACGGGAAATAAGTATCCACCCAACGCATTTCCACCGCACCTGCAATTAATAATAAATACAAGTATACAACCATATATGACTGTGAAGCAATGTGGGAGAAAATTTTCTGAATCTCGTTGATTGATTCAAATGTACAAAAACAGGCTATGTATATGCATAAACGAGTAGCATTAAAATATAAAAAGCTAATAAAGACTATACACTAAGCACCTGATCACTGACCTATCTAAACGAGTATTTACAATAAATGATAATATTGCCACAGACAGTACAAGGGAAAGTGTTAGGAATTAGCGATTTGAAGGAAAATCATAACTTCAGAGGAATAACTTAACTAGATTTAGATGTCCAGCTACTTATCTATTTTTTCTTTTTTAAAACATTTCAAGGAACAATTTAGCATTTTATTTTCCAGTTTAAACACTATCTTTTTCTCCAAGAATTTTGCAATAGCAAGGTGAATTTTATTTCAGAATTACTTTTGGTTCATATATACCATATCCTTCAGTCGGTAATATTGACTGAAGTCAAAATAAACCACAAAAAAAAAAAGGCATATGCTTATGACACTGGCTTACATACCCCCAATGCATTTCCACTTTACTTGCAGTTAATACTACATATAACCATATATGTCATGACTAAGAAGCAGCACAGGGGAAAGTATTACAATTTAGCAATTTGCAAGTAAATTATAACTTCAGGGGATTGACATAACTAGAATTATATGCCTTTTCATTTATCTTTTTTAAATTTTTGAAGGAACAATTTGGCATTTTAATTTCCGTGCTGAATATGCATCCGTACACATGACATGTTTGACAGTGCTCAAAATAAAAATTCAGTTTCTACCATGTCCACATTGGTTCTTTCATATTCTTCAGATAAATTATCATACAAATTCATATTGACAATGCAATTGCAGTGACTGATTATGTAATCCGCACATTAGGCTATTTGCATTTTGGGAATACCAAATAAATGGCGTGCTAACCCCTCAAGGCATTTCTTTAAGTCAGCTGCTGCATAGGAAGTGGCATCCATTCCCGATGGTTCCCATTCATCTGGAACAAAAACCCGGAAGCCTTCCATCTACACAATCAGACAAAACTAAGAAATTTGGCAGTCCTAATCCTAAGAAAAATCTAATTCCTGGCTAAGGCAACACACCTGATGGAAGACAGGGTAATGAGTTGAATCAATTGAATCTCTTCGATACACATCTCCTGTAACAAGGAAATGAGTGTATCCGCTTCTCAATAAGCCTGCCTGATGAGCACTTGTATGGCACCTAAGAACGGTCTGAGGGTCTATGTAGTATGTATCATTATAACTCCTACTCACATGGTCCTCAGGAACTAATACATCATCAAAATTCTGAAATAACAGGAAAATCATCAGCAAAATATACTACCATGAAGTTCAAACAACCTGAAACAAGCCAAAGAGCAATATATTTCCCTTTAGCTACCCTCAATGTAGTATTGGGCACATTTAGACTGCAAAGGTTGGACGTTGTAGTATGAAGGCAGTACAAATTGATAATTGGCAGAAGTATGAGCAAAAGCACAATAATTCAGCTCTAACAGTAAAAGGTTAACATTAATGACATTTCAAACAAAGCTTCGCTATTAAATCAATTTCTCTTCACTCATTATAGGGGGCTTTGGCAAGAATAAGAATGCTTACATCTGATAGTCGTGCACAGCACTTACAGTAATTTGGTGTTGGTAAGAAAGGAAAAATCTCATTCTTAATGGTGTGCAATGGTTTGCCCTATTTGTGGGACCTTGTTTTTGCAATTTCTTTCAGGTAAGAGAATATATGAAATAATCTTATCAAAAGGCAATACATGCTAAATCAGCTTCCATATAGGCTCATCAATTAAATCCAGAATAGGAATTGTTTCCTTAAATTGATGACATTACATATAGGAATAATTTGGATGAAAAAGCTAATGAACTAACATAATTTCTGAAGGACTAGTAACTTTCAAAAACTTTCATGCTTTATCTTCTGTGGCTCAACAAGGCTTGAAACTTAAAAGTGCATTGGACTTACTTTTTCCAAGCTAGAGGTATTTTTAAAAAATATTGTTGACATATCTACAAGTGGAATCAATTACCTATTAGTTTTCTCTTCTAACATCTAGTGCTGACAAGCAGGAAACTCCAGTAACATGCCCTACTCGCTGGAACTATCAGCATGAATGTTGAAGCAAACAAACATAGGAACGGCACAAAAAATATTAAGACTTTTTTAAGAAGCAAGAGCGGAATCATATCCATGGACAGCAAAAGCTAGTAATGGCAAAAGAAAACATAGGATTCAAGTGAAACTAGCCTTAAAAATCTTTTACGTACCTCCTTTACTGAAACAATCGGACAAAGATCATCAAACTTATTGAACTTGTTTGAATAGTTGGAATCAAAGTATTCATATATGGCATTCTTCAGTATCCCAAGGGGGTGCTGGTCTCTCCTGTGAAGTTGCAACCCAAGTTTTGAAAATATCGTGTCTGGCACATTATTTGTAGGATCGTCCCTCACCACATCTAAGAAACCACAATGAATAAGATATAAGTATGAGTTAAAACAATTAACAATAGAATATATGCGAAGGGCAAGCACATATAGAGTAGGAACTGTACTGATAAAGCATCCACACAACCCCCATAATATCCTTCTCACTTGTATTAGTTGATAAAAATTCCTCCCAGAAGGCCACAAGAGACTAAACATCACTGAAATGACTTCAATATGATTCAAATTTCAGACTTGAAGAAAACAAGGAAATTGGTAATGGCTCATAATATTCTGTTGTAGAACCCTTTTTTTCAACAATACGAGCTTCAGTATTTGATCTGTTAAAACTACATAAGATGAATGAGATTCTAAATGTGAAAAATGAACTTATGTTTCTTTTAAACCTGCCAGTATAAGTTTCCAATTCAAATAGGATGTTTAAAGTACGAAGTTGAAGATAACTAATCACCCAAAAAACAAAAAAAAACCAAAATAAATATTTGACTACCTTCCCTGGAAATCTTGACACCACCAACATCCAACACTGAGACAACTGGTCGCCTCCATTTCTTTCGTGAAAGGTTATCAGTAGAAACAGAACTAGCCATCGACGAGAAAGGTATACATAATGTGAAGCTTCTTAGAGTATCACTTCTACGAAGCAGTGAAGCCCCAGAGAAAAGTGTGGCTTGTACAGAAGAGAGAGCCATTGCCATCCAAATGGGTATAAACTTTTATAGAGGATAAGTATAGCTCACAGAAAGAGAACCAGAGGCAAGATTCGCAGGGAAGTCGAACCACTTGATTAGCTCATAGCACTTCTGTGGAACATTTGTGGCGGTTAAAGTTAACATTTTGAAGACTGGGACATGTACAATCATTTTATAATTTATAAATAAGTTAAGATTTTGAAGACTGGGACATGTATAATCATTTTATAATTTATAAATAAGTATTAACACACACACACGGACATTTACACACAAGGCGGAACCACAAAAGTAGGATGTGACTCTCAGTCCGAAAGCCCAGTGAATCAAACAGGACTTCAATCTTTCACCAGCAACCAACTCAATCTCCTCCACTATTTAAATGAACGAAAATGGCAATTGAAAAACACTTAAAATGGAGAACTAATTGAGTGCAGTGATGGAGGAACAAATTGGTAAACGGAGAATGATGGAGAGAGCTAGTGTCTTACACAAAACTGATGGAGCCCTAGTTGCAGAGCACAGCCACAGTGAAAGAAGGATGGCGAAGAAGAAGCTCAACTGCTGCAATAGACAGTGACGAAATCAACAAGCACAACGACGAGGAAGGAAATGAGAAGAAAAACGCGGCACAATAGGAACAACAGAGAGGGGATCAGCGAGAGATAATGCGATCTATCTGCATAAATGAACGAAGAGGCATTTGCATTTTTTAATGGGAAAATAAAAATAAAAGCCCCAAAAAAATTGTAACACAGGAAGGGAAAATTATAAAAAGAGACTGTTGAAATAAAAAACATTACAAACAAGACTCTATTATAATATTTGTATTGGTTTGACAATAATTTTTGTGAACGAGTTTTTTTATGCAATTTTTTAATTTTTAAAGTCTTTTTTTAACAATAATTTTAAATATAAGAACTAATTAATTGAAGGTTTAAGTTAATACTCTATATCCTGTATTTATTTTTTTAAAAAAAAAATAGTTCCAACAATTACACATGTTAAAAGATTTTCATTTTAATATACATTATTAACAAATATATTTTTAAAAAATAACACTTATTTATTATAAATAACTAATTTAATTTATTTTTATAATATTTGCTAATGAGTTAGCTAGCTCATGTATTAAGTAGAAGCAGATGTAGTATTTATTAAGAAGGAATATAAACTTGAAAATACCAAATTACCCTCAAAATTTTAGCTTCCTCCCAACGCACGAATCTCACAAAAAGTAGTCAAGTGTGAGGATAAAAGATTTGGAATTTAGTGATTTTAAAAAAATTATTCTCCTGGCAACAAGGATTTAGTATTGGAAAAATTACACTCAGGTCCTACACAAGAAATTAATTCACAAAAAATCTCCCGAAATCCCAAAATAACTCCCAAGTCCCTAGGGATCCATGTGTAATAAATTATAATTGTGAAATTATCTATTTACTCCTATTCATTTACAACTTCAGCAGTGGTTGTTGACAACCCGAGGAGAAGTGGTTAACAACCTCTGCAGTGTCCCTGACCACTCACACTGTCAACAGCCACTGTTGAGGTTGTAAATGAATTACTGCAATAAAATTAATAGGGGTAAATAGGTAATTTCATAATTTCAATTTATTACATACAGGTCCCTGGGAACTTAGGAATCATTTTGAAATTTCCAGGGACTTTTTATGAATTAATTATCTTGTGTGGAACCTATGTGTAATTTTCCCTTTAGTATTTTACAAAAGATAATACTTATTTATCATAAAAAGTTAATAAAAATTTTAATCCCTTAAATTTGTTTTTATTTTGGTTTTAAAATCTCAAATTTCAAACTATAAATTTTTGTTTTTCAAATTTTTTTGTGGTTTATGATATTGATCTCTATCATCTAATAAATACTAAGATTATTTTGCTTATTGAGGAATCAAAACCTATAGTTTAAAACTTGAGAAACTAAAATCAAAATGAAGACAAATTTAGAGAATAAAAAATTATATAAACTCTGTTACAGATAATTAACTTAATTTATATTTATATATATATATTTTGTAGTGTAGAAGACGTGGAAGGTGATTAGTTGTGCGGGGTCGATGGGGCTGATGAAAAGCGTGGAGCCTTTGACCCAATCGGAGAAAGTTTGGAGGCCGTCTTGGCCGGAGGAGTTTGCGGAGTCATCATTGTCGTCGGCGATGGAGATTTACGAGATGATGTTGGGGTTAACGATGGCGTTTGAGTACCTGAGCGTTTCATAACGGTGAGGCCTTGGCATTTTAGACGCCTGGGCCGGGAAATTATTAGTATTTGACATCAATTGGGAAGGTATTTTGAGTTTGCTTGTTTTTAATTTTTAAAACAAAGGTTCAAGAGATAATTTAGTATTTTTTAAGTTTGTATTTTAATATTTAGTCTTTTTAAATAATTAAAGTTTTTAATATTTTTCTTAATAATTTTTTTAAAGTCCTTCCTTCTAATTTTTTGCCCTTTTTTTTTCATTTGTTTATTGGCGTGTCTTCCACAATCCTATAATTTTTTACTAAAGCCTATTTATTTATTCCCCATTTTATGTGATTTAGTAGTTTATAAAATAAATTGTCAAGCCTCTTATTAGTCTTTCATTTTTATTTAGATTAGCTTTTATGACGGTATGTTCCCTATTGCTTTTTGAATAAATTATATTATTATAGAATAAAGAAAAATTATAATTGGGCTTTAGCCCCGCATCATCCATAAAAAAAAACAAAAAGAAAAGAAAAATTAGAGAGTAAAGGAAATTGAAGAAAACATAAAGATACTCCTCCGGTCCTTAATATAAGACCCATTTAACTAATTTGATTAGATTAAGGAAGTTAGGTAAGTTAGTTAATTATAAGAAATATGACATGTTTTTCCTAAAATACCATAATCATATTTCTTAATACCCCATCTTTCTCTTCTACTTGATTATGGTTGAAAGAGTATCTATAGGGGTAATTTAGAGATAATTGATAAATATGAAAAATGAGTCTTATATTTAGGACCAAAACCACCTCACCAATTGGGTCCTATATTAAGGATCGGAGGAGTACAAAGCATGGAAACCAAAAGCAATGTGTTATGAACACAATATATGTGGACATTCATAAGTCTCAATATCTCCTGTTATTTTACAATTATTTTATATTATCATAAAATCTATAAATTATGTTAATGTTGAAGTTATAAAATTGTACTCGTACATATGACCATATGTTTTATTTTTAAAATATTAATATTTGATAGCCTCACCTAGTGGGATAAGGCTTGTTGTTTGTAATATTTGATAGCATTTAAATATAAATTTATGTAAAACAAAAAATGACACATGGCACGTCTGATTGGAGAACTTAACATAATAAATAAAAAAACTTGACTTGAGTTTTTTTTCCTAATTTGTATTAGGCTTAGTCCCTTTTTATTACTCTTAAAGGAAAAAAGAAGATATCTCACCATTTATCACTTTTTTTTCTAAACACATGTATTTTTTTATTGGAGGTGATAATATACGATGCATTGTTGGACATCTTTCCTAACAAGAACTCGAACCTTAATTCATTGTGCTATGAGAAGCTAATTCTCCCCATTACATCCAACTCTGTTAGTCATCTCACCATTCATCATCATTTCTATCAACACTCCAGCATTACACAAGCGGATTGCCCAAGGAACGGACAAGCTTAGCTGGATAAGAGACATTCCAACATTTAAGATCCAAGTGGGGAAATTGGATCCAATTTGAAACTGTGTAATGGCCCCTTTCTGTATGTTCTTTTTTACTGGAAGTTCTATAGTCCATGGTTTGACGGTCTCACTGGTTTCTTTTTTATCAAATGGAAAATTTCCAGCCTTCAATATTTCATCTTTGGCGTTGGCACTTTTCAACTTTACCAAAAATAAGTCATTTTTCATTAACAACAGTTTTTCAACCCCAAACTTTCCCCAGATTTGCCGTGCAATCCATTTATCATTATGAAAAAGGAGGGTTAGCCCCAATAACATAGCAGCACACTACAGCATCATCTTTCCATAACTCAGGTTTCACATCCTTCCTAGCAGTCCTTGCAATTCTACAATTACCCTCATAGCTAGCTTCAATACAATTCAATCTGCTTCCCATATTCTTCAGCTTCCTTTCTTCAGTCTAAAGTCACCGGCAGAATGGAAACCATGAACATTCATTTACCGATGAGTGTTATACCATCAGGTCATAAGGCCATTAACCATATTTTTCATTTTTGGTATATCAAATTTAGCCCATATCGAGCTAGAGGAAGATAGTTGGAACTCTCCCCTCTTTTGCTGTTCCCCTTCTTGTGCCTTTTTTAGATCGAATTGCATATGAAATCACTGGCATAATTTTGTTTTAGCCGTTTGCTTTCGTTGGATGACTTCAACTTTGTAAAGTATTTCATAAATCTAAATTCCTAGAATTTTTATTCATATCAATATGAAACAAAATTTATTAGATTATTATTTATCTCATACGTATACTAGTGAATAAATCAAATTGAAGTTAACGACTAGTTGTCTCAGTGACAATACCATCCGTTATGTTTAAATGAAATTTTAGGTTCGAGTCTGACATTGACACCTTTATATACATTTCATTGTATAATATAAAAAAACAAGAATAAATCAAATTGAAGGCAAAAATACGAGACAAGTCATGATTAAAAGGAATGGATGGAAGGAATACTGGGACCATAGTGTAAGGAGCACACCAAGACAGGCAAAGCATCATACCTTTCCCCCTAGCCCCTCAACCAAGGATGATTTCTTAGTACTTCTTTTTGCTGGCCAAGCATCATATCCAACATTCATGTCACCTTCAACCTTATCCTCTTTTACTTTTATTCTTTTTCATTTTTCAAAAATTATTAATATATATAATATTAAATATAGGCCATCCACTTCATATGTAGGTTGAAGGAAGGAACAACATGACATGTAAAGTGCCATTGAAGCCTTCAAAAATAATTTTTCAGTCATAATTTATAAAATGAGATATAAACCAGCCTTAAATTGTGGCTTTTTTCTAATACTCCTCTAATCCTTAATATAAGACCTATTTAACTAATTTGATTAGATTAAAAAAGTTAAGTAAATTAGTTAATTATAAAAAAAATGATATATTTTTCCTAAAACACCATAATCATCTTTCTTAATATCCTTCCTTCCTTTTCTACTTGGTAATGATTGAAGGAGTATTTATAGTGGTAATTTAGAAAAAATTGATAAATATGAGAAATAGGTCTTATGTTTAGAACCAAAATCAACTCAATAATTAGGTCCTTAATAGGAGTATATATACACACACAATTATTCCATGTTAATCTATGAGCTGAAACGGGAGAATATTAATTATAAATTATGAATAATACAACGTAAATGTTAGTACTAGGAAAACGGGCCGGCCCGTTTAAGCCCGAGTTGCAAAAATAAGTCGTTTTTTCAAGCCTGGCCCATGAGATGACGGGCTCGGGCTAGCCCGCGGGCTTTTGGCCTTTTTAACTAAAATGAATTTTTTTTTATTTTTTTGTATATTTTATCAAAATAATAAAAATGAAACAATAAAATTACTAATAAAAGGTATAAATATAAATAAAATTGAGTCACAAATATAAA